CTTATTGATGAAGCCATTGACTGATGTGGTGTACTCCTCAATGCTATCTGAAGAATCCCGGAACATATTTCAGTCTGTGCTAGCAAAACAGTCCTGTAGCTTAGCTTCTGCGTCATCTGACCACTTTTTTATTGACAGAGTCACTGGTGCTTCCTGCTTTAGTTTTTGCTTATAAGCAGGAATCAGGAGGATTGAGTTATGGTCAGATTTGCCAAATGGAGTGCGAGGGAGAGCTTTGTATGTGTCTCTGTGTGTGGAGTGAAGGTGGTCTACAGTTTTTTTTCCTCTGGTTGCACATTTAACATGCTGATAGAAATTAGGTAGAACGGATTTAAGTTTCCCTGCATTAAAGTCCCCGGCCACTAGGAGCGCTGCCTCTGGATGAGCGTTTTCCTGTTTGCTTATGGCCTTATATAGCTCATTGAGTGGAATATTAGTGCCAGAATTTGTTTGTGGTGGTAGATAGACAGCTACAAAAAATATAGATGAAAACTCTCTTGGTAAATAGTGTGGTCTAGAGCTTATCATGAGATACTCTACCTCAGACAAGCAAAACCTTGAGACTTCCTTAATATTAGATTTTGTGCACCAGCAGTTGTTTACAAATATACACAGACCGCCACCCCTTGTCTTACCGGAGTCAGCCGTTCTATCCTGCCGATGTAGCGTATAGCCCGCTAGCTGTATGTTATCCATGTCGTCGTTCAGCCACGACTCGGTGAAACATAAGATATTACAGTTTTTCATGTCCCGTTGGTAGGATAACCTTAGTCTTAGGTCATCCAATTTGTTTTCAAATGATTGAACATTGGCTAATAGGATTGATGGAAGAGGCAGTTTACTCGCTCGCTATCGGATCCTTACAAGGCACTCCGACCTACGTCCACGATATCTCCATCTCTTTCTCATGTGAATGACGGGGATTTGGGCCTTGTCGGGTGTCTGTAGAATATTCTTCGCGTACGACTCGTTGAAGAAAAAATCTTCGTCCAATACGAGGTGAGTAATCGCTGTCCTGATATCCAGAAGCTCTTTTTGGTCATAAGAGACGGTGGCAGAAACATTATGTAAAACACATTGCAAAAATCGAAAACGTTTTGTCCAAACATGATGCAGAAAAGCTAATCCATGCTTTTGTCACTTCTAGGTTAGACTACTGCAATGCTCTATGCTCCGGCTACCCAGATAAATACTGAATAAACTTCAGTTATTGCTAAACACGGCTGCTAGAATCTTGACTAGAACCAAAACATTTGATCATATTACTCCTGTGCTAGCCTCTCTACACTGGCTTCCTGTTAAGGCTAGGGCTGATTTCAAGGTTTTACTGCTAACCTACAAAGCATTACATAGGCTTTCTCCTACCGATCTCTCCGATTACATACCTACAAGTACGTTACGGTGACAACACGCAGGCCTCCTTATTGTCCCTAGATTTTCTAAGCAAACAGCTGGAGGCAGGGCTTTCTCCTATAGAACTACATTTTTATGGAATGGCCTGCCTATCCATGTGAGAGACGCAGACTCGGTCTCAACCTTTAAGTCTTTACTGAAGACTCATCTCTTCAGTAGGTCCTATGACTGAGTGTAGTCTGGCCCAGGGGTGCGAAGGTGAACGACAAGGCACTGGAGCAACGAACCACCCTTGCTGTCTCTGCCTGGCCGGCTCCCCTCTCTCCACTGGGATTCTCTGCCTCTCACCCCATTACGTGGGCTGAGTCACTGGCTAACTAGTGCTCTTCCATACCGTCCCTAAGAGGGGTGCGTCACTTGATTGGGTTGAGTCACTGATGTGATCTTCCTGTCCGGTTTTGCGCCCCCTCAGGCTCGTGCGGTGGAGGAGATCTTCGTGGGCTATACTCAGCCTAGGCCAAACGCCTCAGGACTACCTGGCCTGATGACGCCTGGCTGTCCCCAGTCCACCTGGTTGTGCTGCTGCTCCAGTTTCAACTGTTCTGCCTGCGGCTATGGAACCCTGACCTGTTCGCCGGACGTGCTACCTTGTCCAGGACTTGCTGTTTTTCACTCTCTTGCTCTCTCTTTCTGCCGCACTTGCTGTCTCAACCTCTGAATGCTCGGCTATGAAAAACCAACTGACATTTACTCCTGAGGTACTGACCTGTTGCACCCTCTACAACCATTGTGATTATTATTTGACCCTGCTGGTCATCTATGAACGTTTGAACATCTTGAAGAACAATCTGGCCTTAATTGCCATGTAGTCTTTTAATCTCCACCCAGCATAACCAGAAGAGGGCTGGCCACCCCTCAGAGCCTGGACTATTTGCATTGACCCCCGCCTCCCCCCTTTTTGTACACTGCTGCTACTCACTGTTTATTATCTATGCATAGTCACTTTACCCCTACCTACATGTACATATTACCTCAATGACCTCGACTTACCTGTACCCCCGCACATTGACTTGGTACCAGTACCCCTGTATATAGCCTCGTTACTGTTATTTTATTTTTGCTCTTTTATTTTTTACTTTCGTTTATTTAGTAAATATTTTCCTAAACTCCAATTTTTCTTAGAACTGCATTGTTGGTTAAGGGCTTGTAAGTAAGCATTTCACGGTAAGGTCTACCTACACCTGTTGTATTTTGCGCATTTGACAAATAAAATTTGATTTTGAATTGGGTCCCTTTCTATGTTTCTTCCTAGGTTCCGGCCTTTCTATGGAGTTTTTCCTAGCCACTGTGCTTCTATATCTGCATTGCTAGCTGTTTGGGGTTTTAGGCTGGGTTTCTGCATGGCACTTTGTGACATCTGCTGATGAAAAACGGGCTTTATAAATACAGTGCCTTTGGAAAGTATTCAGACCCCTTGACTTTTTCCACTTTGTTACGTTACATCTCCACAGAGGAACTCTGGAGCTCTGTCAGAGTGACCATGGGGTTATTGGTCACCTCCCTGACCAAGGCCCTTCTACCTTGACTGCTCAGTTTGGCCGGGCGGCCAGCTCTAGGAGTCTTGGTGGTTCCAAACTTCTTCCATTTAAGAATGATGGAGGCCACTGTGTTCTTGGGGACCTTCAATGCTGCAGACATTTTTTGGTACCCTTCCCCAGATCTGTGCCTTGACACAATCCTGTCTCGGAGCTCTACAGACAATTCCTTCGACCTCATGGCTTGGTTTTTGCTCTGACATGCACTGTCAACTGTGGGAGCTTATATAGACAGGTGTGTGCCTTTCCAAATCATGTCCAATCAGTTGAATTCACCACAGGTGGACTACAATCAAGTTGTAGAAACATCTCAAGGATGATCAATGGAAACAGGATGCACCGGAGCTCAATTTCGAGTCTCATAGCAAAAGGTCTGAACACTTATGTAAATAAGGTATTTCAGATTTTTTATTTTATTTTACATTTGCAAAAATGTCAAAAAACCTGTTTTCGCTTTGTCATTAAGGGGTATTGTGTGTAGATTGACGAGGGAAAATTTTAGAATAAGGCTGTAACATATCAAAATGTGGAAAAAGTCAAGGGGTCTGAATACTTTCCGAAGGCACTGTAAATTTTACACTGTAATCTTACACAGTTTAAACAGTGCCTCTGCAAAGTACAGGTGAATGCACTGATGAATGATGCTTTACAGAATGTGTTTACGTGACTATTGTACCACACTTCACAACCTATGGTGGGACTAAAACTGTGGACATAGATCCCCCTACTGGTCAGAACCGATTACTACAACTACTGATCATCCCAGTGTGGGACTAAATGGGATAATAATAATAATAATAATAATAATAATAATAATATGCCAGTTAGCAGACGCTTTTATCCAAAGTGACTTACAGTCATGCGTGCATACATTTTTGTGTATGGGTGGTCCCGGGGATCGAACCCACTATCTTGGCGTTACAAGCGCCGTGCTCTACCAGCTGAGCTACAGAGGACCACGTTGCATGGGATGTTCAGATCTTTGAATAATGTGATCATTTAGCTAATCTTTTGGATATGGAAGCTGCTCAAAATAACCTGAGAGATGAGATTTGACCTGACCGGTGGTGTGCCATTTCCTGTAATCTGGTCAGGTTTATAAACACACAGCATGACCACACTCTTAACCTATTTCAGTAGTCTAATGATCTTCAAGCCAACCCCCATTTTCCTGTCAAGATATACTTTTTAATCTTCTCCTATGGAGAGACTGGGGCTAATTGGCTCATGCTGCTGTATGGAGAAAGAGAGAGAGAACAAGATAACGACAGAGAAACATCCACTACCATATGCTGTCAATAAATCATGTGGAGGTCTTGTACTAAATGCCACCTTACATCAATATTAATACCACGTCATCTGTCAGGTTGAGATGATGGAGAGAGAAGGGATGTGTTCATTATTGCTCCCATGTTGCAACACGTCTCAGGCAAACTAGTAGCTAACCAAGACAACCTGGCCTGGGAATGGAGGGACAGCAGACGAGACTCAACCTAACATAACATGTGTATTCATTAAGCAGCATCCAGATAACATGTGTAGCAATTAAGCAGCATCCAGATAACATGTGTAGACGCAGCATCTACAGGCAGGGGCAATCTTAGAAAATCTCAGACCTGGAATTGCAACATACAGAACTGACAGGGTTCTTTACATTCCTTCAAATGAAAATGTCCAAAAACGAGAAAAACATATCTGAACATTTTTAAAACAACTTCTGCCTTCCAGGATTATGATCAAAGAACCTGGATTTATGCCAATCCCAGAGCAATGCCTGGGGTCATCCTCGTAAAAGCAATCATACCATTGGTCGGCTTCTGTGATTTGGGTAATAGGAGAGTAAACTTAAGCAGCTTTTAGATGGATCAGAGCGAGAGAGTGTGTGTGTGTGTGTGTGTGTATGATCAAAGTCATATGCAGCATGTTAACTTTTAGAAAGTTATATATCTTTGAACATGAAACATCTTTTAATAAACCTGCAGTATACATTAGTACTCAACACCAAATCGACCCCTCGCTCCTATCCCCCCTAGGGCTAGGCACTTCACATTGATCTGAGAGGGTTGGATAGGTGTGTGCAATAATTAAACACAAGAATGAATCATACATGACAACCCATGTCTGTATTATGTATAACTTTAAGCCAATTTAATTCACATTCTTTCAAATGAAAAATACCACTTTCTATCTTCATTATGTGTTATTCAGCAATGCCCAGTGGAACAAGAGTTTGTAGAAAAGCCTTCATCCCAGCAACAAATAAAATTAGATCAACCAATAAATATAAAAGATAAATAAATATACACTTCACAAGACCTCCACCCCCCCCATCACCCAGACATTCATTGGTGCCTTGTCTCCATCATAAAGTGATTCACATGAAGAAATACACTGATATCTCCTTATTAAAAAGCCTGCTTATAAACTGTTGATCAACTACTATTACTATTATAATCAAATTATTATTATAACTATATAAATCATGTTATATAGTAATATTACCTGGTATCATACATATGAAAAAATAAAATAATTATTGCAATAATGCTTATAAGCAGTTTATAAAGCATACATTCAAATTGTGTTATCAGCATATGTAAAAGCACATTGAAAGGTGAACTAAACAATAAAAAAAGTGTTGTAATATTGCTTTGCTAGAGAGGCTTCTCTCTCTCTTCACAGGAGTTCCTTTTTGATTCCCTTCAACCCGCTTTTGTAACCCTAGTCCTCCAAACCTCTGTCAAATAAAATGTAGTTACATGGATTCTGTTTTCTTGGTAAAATTTCATGTAACTACATACACACACAAGGGTCAGAATTTGGCCACTATCCTTAGGCCACGATTCAATCAATGTTCAATGCACCTTATCTGTAGTTACTGTGTACAGCTGAGTAGTAACATGTTGGCACTTGGAAAAGCCTTATGGTCACATCAATTTCAGTATCATTACATGGTATAATGGCAAATTCACGTGTGATTGCCAGTTCCCAGCTTCACCCGGTTTGTCAGACATCACAGACAGTGCATTTTCGATTGGCTCAAATCAAATGGTGTAGGGGAGTGGTAGTGGTGTGAGGTGGGGGAGGTGGGCTGCAGAGTGGTATAGTCCACAGAGAATGACAATAGTCATTAGTGGTCAAGAACACACAGGTGAGAAACGCACAGAAGAAACAGAAACAAGTGGTATTCCTCCACAAGCGTTCCTCTCTGCGGTCTCCTGTCCTTTCATACACACTCTGAATCCAGGACACACGCCCTGTTCATCTTCCGCCCATTCATCGACACTCAGGTGTGTGTGTTGGGTTCAGAGTAGCTCAATCTCGTCTTCATAGTCCTCAGAACCAGACGGGCCCTGTCGGACCTCCTCGTACCACTTATTGGTCAAAGTTTTCATCTGGATCCGACCATGCAGGAGGTCCTGGAACACACACAGAGAAAACACACACACACACACACACACACACACACACACACAAACACAAACACAAACGCACAGAAAGAAAATGCACAGACACTCAAACTCACAGCAACGGAATACAGCTGAGAAATTCAAGGGAGTGGAGAACAAGGGAGATGTATGCATCTTTCAAACTAATATGACTGGGTGCTTATGAATCAAATATGAACATATGTGCATGCATGTGTATACACCAATTAAACATGGTGTCAGGGAGCGTGGCACAGCTAAAACCAAGGTGGGATTACATGTCACACACACACTTGCTGTTTAAGAATGAGGGACACAAACTCTGACATGGCCCTTACCTCCTGTGTGAGTCGTCGTGTGAAGAAGGGGTTGAGGTATTTGGCATCCAGCCACATGAAGCCCTTCAGGTCCTGCCTCTGGTAGATCTGAGCCTCATACTCCTCCTCTGTCAACTCAGACAGGTGCTCCAACTCTAGGGCATTACCCTGGGGACAGGGGGAGGGAGGAGGAGGGAGGAGGGAGAAGGGAGGGAGGGATGAGAAGGGTGGGGAGGTAGGGAGGGAGAGATAAAGGGAGGGAGAGGGAACAGATACCAAGAAAGAGAGGGGAAAAGCAGAGGGATGAATGAACTAGTGAGAAAGAGAGCGCGAATGAGGGAGGGAGAAAGGCTGATGAAATATTTCTACTGTTTGTGATCGGCTTCGTCTCCTGGTCTCATGTGACTGATGCTTGCGTGAGTAAGGCCTTTGAAGTGTTCTTCTCACTGAGACAACAGGAAGGGACTAACGCCATACGAGAGGAGAGGCAACACAACAACACTGAGACAACAGGAAGGGACTGACACCATACGAGAGGAGAGGCAACACCAATACAGAGACAACAGGAAGGGACTGACACCATACGAGAGGAGAGGCAACACCAATACAGAGACAACAGGAAGGGACTGACACCATACGAGAGGAGAGGCAACACCAATACAGAGACAACAGGAAGGGACTGACACCATACGAGAGGAGAGGCAACACCAATACAGAGACAACAGGAAGGGACTGACACCATACGAGAGGAGAGGCAACACCAATACAGAGACAACAGGAAGGGACTGACACCATACGAGAGGAGAGGCAACACCAATACAGAGACAACAGGAAGGGACTGACACCATACGAGAGGAGAGGCAACACCAATACAGAGACAACAGGAAGGGACTGACACCATACGAGAGGAGAGGCAACACCACAAGAAACCTCTTTACCAGAAAGAGAGTGCTAGCGTGTGTTCATTAACATCGGTCTGCTTGTGTATGTCTACATGAACTAGGGTAAATCACTGCCAGGTTTTTTACCATTTTCTCCGTCTTGCTGAGGTTGATGTCCTTCTTGCTCTTGCGTCGGGATTGGCTCTCCTCGTTGTCCATGATGCGGATGAGGGGCATGGTCCCGCTGCCAAGGAGGAGGATGGTGAAGAGGACAATGATGATGGTGGTGGTGCCAATCAACTGGCGCTTCTCTATGGGCTCTAGTCCAAGATGAAGGCTCAGGGCATAGGGGATGGCACCTCTCAGACCTAACAGAGGAGAGGAGTGAGGGATGGACAGTAGAGCCAAACCGACAGAGGTGTATTAGAGTAGTGGAGAAATGCTCTACTTACCACTGAACCACATGATGAACATCATCTTGGGTGTGATCTTGTGGTCTCTGAAGAAGTTGAGCAGGAAGGAGAGAGGGAAAATATTCACGGCCCGACCTACTAACACCAGCACCTGGAGAGAGGTAGAATACAAAGCTCAGAACAAACAGTAACCTCTACCCCTAACCTTAGCTTCATGTCTACATCCTGGTTAAACCCTAATCTCTACCCACTAACCCTAGCTTCATGTCTATATCCTGGTTAAACCCTAATCTCTACCCCTAACCCTAGCTTCATGTCCACATCCTGGTTAAACCCTAACCTCTACCCCTAACCCTAGCTTCATGTCTACATCCTGGTTAAACCCTAACCTCTACCCCTAACCCTAGCTTCATGTCTACATCCTGGAAAAACCCTAACCTCTACCCCTAACCCTAACTTCATGTCCACATCCTGGTTAAACCCTAACCTCTACCCCTAACCCTAACTTCATGTCTACATCCTGGAAAAACCCTAACCTCTACCCCTAACCCTAGCTTCATGTCTACATCCTGGTTAAACCCTAACCTCTACCACTAACCCTAACCTCTACCCCTAACCCTAACTTCATGTCCACATCCTGGTTCAACCCTAACCCTACCCTTATGTCCACATCTCGGCTCAACCCTAAACCTACCCTAACTCTCGGCTCAACCCGTTGTAGTGTAGTATAGAATGCTAATGCTAGGTGGCAATGTTCCCTCATCACTGAGCAAATTTCAGGTCTGCTGAGTGCAAACTTGAAAGTTGTGAACATTCTGTGCAACTTCCGGCACGTGTTTACTGCAAACACTGAGGCTGTACCCGCTTTAAATTAGTTTTAAACAGTTGCCAAGTAGGCTCCTGTGGCTATTTGATCATAATGTCGGCCTACCAGAGTGGCCTACCATCAAAAACAATGGAGAAAATGCATCCCATAACATTTAACATGGAAATAGCTGTTCTATTGTTCAGCCTACAGTAGCAGCCAATGTGTGCAGTTCAATGTAGGCCTACATACATTCCATGAGACTTTTGAAAAAAACATGCAGGGCTTGACATTAACCTGTTCACCCACTTGTCCTTCAGACAAGGATGTGACTGAAAATGATGCAAGAAACCACTTTACAAAATAAAATACATCATTTTTCCCATACCATTATTACAGAGAATCAGACAAATTATGCTACCCTCTGCCTATTGGCTACTTAGCTTATTCAAGCCTGTCTCAAAATAAAACACTGCCCCTTTAAGACAAAATAAAGCTCTTTACCTAACTCACTTTTCAAAGATGTCTAGAAAAGCACACGTTTTGTGCTCTTGTACGAAGCAATAACTTCCCTTTTTGCTGACTACAAATTATCTGTAACTGGGCTAATAACTCACTAACGAGCAAAGGATATGAACAAATGCACAAATGTGCACACGTCCCTACAAGTAGCTCTCGCTTTGATCTCAAAACAAGTGCATCTACTCACTATCACTCATGCTGTAAAAACAGTCCAGTTCAAAGTGAATGGCACAGATCCATATATGGCAATGGTCTGCATATAGGCCTACTGCAGCTCTGATTGGTTATGGCGCACCGGGCCTGAGTCGTGCCTGTCAATGCAATAAAATCCTACTCTGATGCATTCTGCCTACAACAAAATCTCTTGCATAGTTATTTTTGCACACTTAAGTCTTGCATAGTTCGTTTCGGTATGTTGCATTGAAAGTGGCTAATATTGTGTTGATTCAATAACAATTCCCACAGTAAAGGGAAATGTTGATAGTGTTAACTAACGGGGAAAACTCTAGAAAGTTGAGTGAAGTTCAATCTCGTGCTTCTCTGCGCGCGCTGATATTTCTGCTCGGCAGTCCCGGGGAGCATCTTAGAGGGAACATTGCTAGGCTATACCTGGTCACTACAAGTTGGTAGTAATGCTAGGATACACTGCCAGTCAAAAGTTTGGACACAACTACTCATTCATGGGTTTCTCTTTATTTTTACATTGTAGAATAATAGTGAAGACATCAAAACTATGAAATAACACCTATGGAATCATGTAGTAACCAAAAAAGTGTTAAACAAATCAAATTATATTTTATATATGAGATTCTTCAAATAGCCACCGTTTGCCTTGATGACAGCTTTGCACACTCTTGGCATTCTCTCAACGAGCTTCATGAGAATGCATTTAAATAGGTGTGCTTAAACAGGTGTGCTCTCTTAAAAGTTAATCTGTTCCTTCTTAATGCGTTTGAGCCAATCAGTTGTGTTGTGACAAGGTAGGGGGTATACAGAAGATAGCCTTATTTGGTAAAAGACCAAGTCCATATTATGGCAAGAACACCTCAAATAAGCAAAGAGAAACAACATCATTACTTTAAGACATGAAGGTCAGTCAATCCAGAAAATTTCAAGAACTTTGAAAGTTTCTTCAAGTGCAGTCGCAAAAACCATCAAGCGCTATGATGAAACTGGCTCTCATGAGGACCACCACAGGAATGGAAGACGCAGAGTTACCTCTGCTGCAGAGGATAAGTTCATTAGAGTTACCAGCCTCAGAAATTGCAGCCTAAATAAATGCTTCACAGAGTTCAAGTAACAGACACATCTCAACATCAACTGTTCAGAGGAGACCTTCATGGTCGAATTGCTGCAAAGAAACCACTACTAAAGGACACCAATAATAAGAAGAGACTTGCTTGGGCCAAGAAACACGGGCAATAGACAATAGGACCGGTGGAAATGTGTCCTTTGGTCTGGTCTCCAAATGTGAGATTTTTAGTTCCAATCGCTGTGGCTTTGTGAGACGCGGTGTGGGTGAACGGATGATCTCCGCATGTGTATTTCCCACCGTAAAGCATGGAGGAGGAGGTGTTATGGTGTGGGGGTGCTTTGTTGGTGACACTGTCTGTGATTTATTTAGAATTCAAGGCACACTTAACCAGCATGGCTACCACAGCATTCTGCAGTGATACGCCATCTGGTTTTGACTTAGTGGGACTATCATTTGTTTTTCAACAGGACAATGACTCAACACACCTCCTGGCTGTGTAAGGGCTATTTTACCAAGAAGGAGAGTGATGGAGTGCTGCATCAGATGCCCTGGCCTCCACAATCCCCCGACCTCAACCCAATTGAGATGGTTTGGGATGAGTCGGACCGCAGAGTGAAGGAAAAGCATTCCAGGTGAAGCTGGTTGAGAGAATGCCAAGAGTGTGAAAAGCTGTCATCAAGGCAAAGGGTGGCTATTTGAAGAATCTCCAATATAAAATATATTTTGATTTGTTTAACACTTTTTAGTTTACTACATGATTCCATAGGTGTTATTTTATAGTTTTGATGTCTTCACTATTAGTCTACAATGTAGAAAATAGTAAAAAATAAAGAAAAACCCTGGAATGAGTAAGTGTGTCCAAACTTTTGACTGGTAATGTATATCTGGTCACTACAGGTTGGTAAGTAATGATAGGCTATACCTGGTCACTACAGGTTGGTAAGTAATGCCAGGCTATACCTGGTCACTACAGGTTGGTAAGTAATGCCAGGCTATACCTGGTCACTACAGGTTGGTAAGTAATGCCAGGCTATACCTGGTCACTACAGTTGGGAGTACTTACTATACACCAGATGACGAAGGAAAGCTCAAACTTGTGAGGGAAGCTGAAGATGGAGAGACCCAGGAAGGCAAACACACACGTCTCTGTTGAGAAGAAAACATAAACTTGTGACGCTTTGTCTTTTGTGTGTATTTTGTATTTTTTTGTAATATTTTTTTTTAACCTTAATGGGTCTTACCTGGTTAAATAAATAAAAATAAATAACACAAGTCATTGTTTTTTACAACAGGATATGGGGGAAAGGACTGGTGAGGCAGAAAGAGGAGTGCTGACCACACATGAAGGCCACCGAGCGGAGGGTCTGCTGCATCAGGATCTGAGTGACAGGAGACAGGTTGTGATGGGTGTAGTGTGACATCACAATCCCTGAAAACAGGATAGACATGATACCTGCACAGAGAGATAGGGGGGGGGTGAACGAGACGGTAGCAATTGCGTAGAAAAATGAATGACATTTCATTGTGTGCGTGCGTATACACTGACATGAGAGGACTCACCAGAGAGTTTGATGCCCTCTGCCAGGCCGTAGGGCAGGTAGGCAAAGATGATCATCATGCCAAACTCTAAAGACGGAGTCTTCCTCAGGTCAAAGTGTTTCAGGAACTGGCACAGGGGTCAAGGGTTAAGGGTAAAACTGTAACAGGCTCGTGTTTACAAGGTGTATGAAGATGTTAAATGGAAATATTATCAACATACTACCCAAAACACTCAATCACACACACACACACACAGAGAGGATACGATGGCAGATATGAGTCCAGTGAGGGTTCCGAGGGCAGCGGAACCGAAGAACATCTTGAGGAAGTATCCCAACGCCTGGAGGAACGTCTCCCAGCCCGTTACCATGGCGTTATCATCCCGGGCAAAACCCTCCGCCGTACTGAATGACACAATGAGATAAAGAGGGAAAAGAATACATCAGTGTGATTTTAGGCATAGAGTATTTAATATGGTTTTATGTAAGTCAATAATTACTTGGGAAATATAATACATTATAATAGATTACCTTGGGGAGGGAATATGTAACCAATTTGAACTAAAAGATTCAGCCTGCAAGTGTGTATGCTTTTCATTTTGCCAGAAGGCCATAGAGTAATTCATCCAACATGCACTAATATGATGTCACACAAGAGGGCAGTGACGTTGCATCACTAAAAAAAATGTTTAACCTTCTCTCAATCTACTATTTGCAATGTGCATAAGTGTATGTGTGTGTGTGTGTCTTCCTGCCCGTCTGTGTGAGAACCTGTTCTCCCAACACAGGGTTATCAGATTGCTCTGTACACATTGGAGACATGACAAGTCTCTATTGTTCCTCAAGCAAGGGGGGAGGGGGATGACATCACGGGGCTCCTGAGTGGCGCAGCAGTCCAAGGCACTGCATCTCAGTGCTTGAGGCGTCACTACAGACCCCCTGGTTCGATTCCATAGGGCGGCGCATAATTGGCCCAGCATTGTCCAGGTTTGGCCGGTGTAGGCCGTCATTGTAAATAAGAATTTGTTCTTAACTGACTTGCCTAGTTAAAAAAATTAAAAAGTATTTCCCTGTAACATAGTCAGTCAAAGATGACACAAGGGACACAGTATATCTGATGTCTGAATACAATAGGCCCAGTTCCTTCAATCAAACAAGGACATTTACTAAGAACTATAAAACTAACCTGTAGTACTGAGCGATTAGTGCTTTTTGAGGTCGGTTCGGTTTTAGTTAGATCATAAAACAATAAATCACGGATTTCGATACTAAAAAAATAAAAACATGTAATGCACTATGCATTATATGGGTTGAATGCTGTCCCACAGAATAAAACAATGAATAAAAGTCCTGTGATGGAAGTGACTGCCAATTACTGCTTATCACTTATTAACCATTATTTATTCACATTACTTTACCAAAATATTTCAGGTTTATATTACAATTGTTTTATTTGATGTTTCATTCCAAGTCATCATCTCATCTCTACAGAGCTGCTGCCTATGCTGTCTGATAAAATCCCTATTTTGTAAATAAGGCATATTTTTATGACTGCTGAATACCAACTATCAATCACTCTTAGATCATGTATTTTCAGGTAGAAATACAGTAGCAACTGCTCTCTATCCCTCTTCTGTCTCTTACCTCTCAGTGTCTGCAACACACGAAGCTATAACCTAATGTAGTAGGCATAAAAAGAACCACACAGACCAGACAAAGTTGGTCACGCAATGGATAATGGTCATTGTAGTCAATTAACACGTTTTCTGCACTAAACTAAGTAGAATATTGGACTGTTGGAAACTACAACTCCCTTCTACATCGCACAGTTCAGGCTTGATCTGATTTATCTCTGAGCTCAATGCGCACTTTGCTCTATTTCTCTAGAGGGAAAAAAACTGAATTGAAATAATTGAACCAAAGTCAAAAAAATTACCTACATTTCGGTTAATCGCTCCAGCACTACGAACCTGTCACTAATGGGTTAAAATAAAACAGTCGTCTGTCTCTGTCCCAGTCTCTTCCTCTGTCCTAGTCAAGTGAAACAGAACAGAAACAGATTGGGACCTTGGCTACTGGAGCGTGTTTGGTCTGTTTCAACCCATTAGTGGCAGGTGGTTACAGAAAGGGCACCCAAGTAGTTTGGTAGTTTTGTTTTTAGCAAAGGATGTTATTGTTTGATCTCAGGGTCTGGCACTCCAGTGTGGCTCAAGCACTCTTAAAGATGTCCTTCAGCAATTTTTGAACTTTTACTGTTGAAATGCAATATTCCAAGTATAAATACAGTAAAGTACACACAGTAAAGTGTAAAAAAAAATATGTTGAGCAAAATAGTGTTTTTAAGACAACTGCAAACTTCAAGTAGTAGGGCATTCAAGGTGTTGCTCTGATGTTAATCCGTGATGTCATCCCCCTCCCCCCTTGCTTGAGGAACAATAGAGAACAGAAGAGGTAACCAGGCTAGATCAAATAGCAGCCAGAGTATTCAATCATTGATACCACCAAATAGTGCTAATGATCTGGCAGTGGCACGTGTTTTTACAGCTAGTGCAATTACTACCATTTCTGGCTAGCATGGCTACTTAGCACGTTACGGCTAGGTGTCAGTCACATGGTGGTAATGTGAGAGAGTCAAGGAGCGGTCTGCTGCTCTCTAGGAAGGTGTTCCCATAAGTTGGTAACACCCGCCATCAGCGGCCAACTGTGCATGGGTTAATTTAATTTATACGGGCGAGGCAACACGTGAGAGCACCATGGTAGTGACAGACAGACAGAGACAGAGATTGGCAGTAGAATGGCTTTACTGAAGAGCTCAGTGACTTTCAATATGGCACCATCATAGGATGCCACCTTTCCAATAAGTCAGTTGGTCAAACTTCTGCCCTGCTAGAGCTGCCCCGGTCAACTGTAAGCGCTGTTATTGTGAAGTGGAAACATCTAAGAGCAACAATGGCTCAGCCGCGAAGTGGTAGGCCACAAAAGCTCACAGAACGGGACCGCCGAGTGCTGAAGCGCGTAAAAATAGTCTGTCCACGGTTGCAACACTCACTACCAAGTTCCAAACTACCTCTGGAAGCAACGTCAGCACAAGAACTGTTCGTCAGGAGCTTCATGAAATGGGTTTCCATGGCCGAGCAGCTGCACACAAGCCAAAGATCACCATGCGCAATGCCAAGTGTATGTTGCAGTGGTGTAAAGCTCGCTGCCATTGGACTCTGGAGCAGTGGAAACACGTTCTCTGAAGCAATCTTCACCATCTGGCAGTCCGACAGACAAATATGGGTTTGGCGGATGCCGGGAGAACGCTACTTGCCCCAATGCATAGTGCCAAGTTTGGTGGAGGAAAGGCAGTTTTTCATGGTTTGGGCTAGGCCCCTTTGTTCCAGTGAAGGGAAATGTTAACGCTACAGCATACAATGACAATCTAGACAATCCTGTGCTTCAAACTTTATGGCAACAGTTTGGGGAAGGCCCTTTCCTGTTTCAGCATGACAATGCCCCCGAGCACAAAGCAAGGTCCATACCTGAAATGGTTTGTCAAGATCGGTGTGGAAGAACTTGACTGGCCTGCACAGAGCTATGACCTCAACCCCATCGAAGACTTTTGGGATGAATTGGAACGCCGACTGCAAGCCAGGCCTAATCGCCCAACATCAGTGCCCGACCTCACTAATGCTCTTGTGGCTGAATGGAAGCAAGTCCCCGCAGCAATGTTCCAACATCTAGTGGAAAGCCTTCCCAGAAGAGTGGAGGTTGTTATAGCAGCAAAGGGAGGACCAACTCCATATTAAGGCCCATGATTTTGGAATGAGATGTTCAACGAGCAGGTGTCCACATACTTTTGGTCATGTTGTGTAGGTGAAAAGAAAGGCTTGGCAACAGATGAGACATTGTCTTGTCATTCTGCCATGTTTCTGATGGTTAGGCTGTAGGTGTGTCAGTAATGTCACTCTGCATGCCTCTGTTAGGCTGTGAAATAGTCACCGTCTCTTTCCTCAGAGCTTGTTGTGTTTATGTTGTTCTTTCTATCAGCATAAAGCAGACAGACAGACAAAGCAGAGTAGGTCAAAAGGTCAAAGGTCAGGAGAAGACTGGCCAGGCCCCAGAGGAGCATGGCAGCTCATCTGACATTTACAAGTACAACACAGAGACAGAAGGTGAGTGCACTGACTCTAAGAAGTATACTCATTATACTGGCCTTTACCAGAAGATACACATGTAGTGCCTTGATAAAATGTAGTGCCTAGATAAAACAGTATGTGGAGGAAGAGGAGGATGAGGGAAAAGGGGATGAGTAGGAGGATGATGTACTTGGTGAGTACGATGGAGACCGCGTCGTTGAGGATGCTCTCTCCAAACACCAGCATGTTGAGGACAGGGTCCACGTTGAGGGCATTGAAGATGGCGATGGTTGCTACGGGGTCCACAGCCGAGATCAGAGAACCAAACGCAAAGCTACAGGAGAGAGTGGGACAAAAATTTGTTGGACAAAGCTTTGGATTTGCAATTATTTTACAGGCTGTTTAAATCATGGTTAAAAACAGTAGGAAAAGGGTAGATCACACATAGTCAAGGAAAACTTACACACAGAAAGGCAGAGATTGATTCACAAAAACACACTGACTACTGACAACAGACACTCCACAGCATATGACTACAGAGACATTGGGAGAACCCACAAACACACCACTTCCTCATCCTAAGGCTGTTCCCCTCCTCTCCTTTCCTCAGCACTGGAAATATGCTCAGTCCGTGTGGAGAGGAAAATATCTGCTTTTTTAATGAAAGGATACACTATTGTTAAGTAGATAACACTGTAGCTACTAGGCTTTGGCGGTATACCGTATACCGGGGTTTGGGGGAGGGGACGCCACTGCTTATAACAAGTTAACTATCTAAGATAAATGATCACAAATCAATTATATCCAGCTCAGGGCTCCAGCTATGCATTTGGTTTGCTACCTTGATAGCCAAGTGGCTAGCCTGCAAGATCAAGCTTCTTAGTTACAGCAGAGATAATCAATCCCTGCTGCCCCCCCTTTTGCCCACAGAACAGCCTCAATTTGTCTGGGCAGAGACTATACAAGGTGTTGAAAGCGTTCCACAGGGATGCTGGGACCATTCTTGATACACACAGGAAACTAGAGCATGAAAAACCCAGCAGCGTTGCAGTTCTTGACACAAACCTGTGCGCCTGGCACCTACTACCATACCCCATTCAAAGGCACTTAAATATTTTGTCTTGCCCATTCACCCTCTGAATGGCACACATACACAATCCATGTCTCAATTGTCTCAAGGCTTAAAAATCATTCTTTAACCTGTCTCCTCCCCTTCATCTACACTGATTTAAATGGATTTAACAAGTGACATCAATAAGGATCACAGCTTTCACCTGGTCAGTCTATGTCATGGAAAGAGCAGGTGTTCGTAATGTTTTGTCTACTCAGTGTATATCTTTTTGAAATAAAGCCCCTTGTGTGCACTGCCATTAATACCATATACCCCGGTATGGTACAGGAACGGTATGAAGGTATACAAATCTGGATAACGCCCAACCCTAGTAGCTACACAGGTAAACTCCTCACCTGTCAGTCATACTGATCTCCTCACCTGTCTGTCTGTCAGTCAGTCATACTGATCTCCTCACCTGTCTGTCTGTCAGTCATACTGATCTCCTCACCTGTCTGTCTGTCAGTCATACTGATCTCCTCACCTGTCTGTCTGTCAGTCATACTGATCTCCTCACCTGTCTGTCTGTCAGTCATACTGATCTCCTCACCTGTCTGTCTGTCAGTCATACTGATCTCCTCACCTGTCTGTCTGTCAGTCAGTCATACTGATCTCCTCACCTGTCTGTCTGTCAGTCATACTGATCTCCTCACCTGTCTGTCAGTCATACTGATCTCCTCACCTGTCTGTCAGTCATACTGATCTCCTCACCTGTCTGTCAGTCATACTGATCTCCTCACCTGTCTGTCAGTCATACTGATCTCCTCACCTGTCTGTCATACTCATCTTGTAGATCACATCGGCCTGTGAGAAAGAGAGAGAGACAGGAAACATCACTCATATGCAATACAAACCATTTGGTGGGATTTGTTCAGTGACGCAGCATTGCACAACAGTTTGCAACACTGAGGAGTGCCGCATGTCTCAAAAGACTGCTCATGCTCATTACTATTTTGTGGTTGTTTTGTGAAAGGTTCCTCAGTTTCTCACACATATTCCTGGACTGACAATGCAATCACACTCGTTGTGTCAATGCCAGTGAAATGTTTGGTAACCTATGAAAAATGTTACCAAAAATATGTTACCGTCGAGGACACCTTTGGAAACATGAGTTCTAATTCATACTTTTAAGTGCTATCCTCTGGGAATACATTGTACATCTTGAATACGTTTTTTTTACACAAATCAATTCATTGCAAATCAATTTAATTATAGAACAGTGATTTCCAAACCGGTCTCCCCAAGCCATTCTATTTAATTCTAGAACAGTGATTTCCAAACCGGTCACCCCAAGCCATTCTATTTAATTCTAGAACAGTGATTTCCAAACCGGTCTCCCCAAGCCATTATATTTCATTCTAGAACAGTGATGTCCAAACCGATCTTCCCAAGCCATTCTATTTAATTCTAGAACATTGATTTCCAAACCGATCTTCCCAAGCCATTCCATTTCATTCTAGAACAGTGATTTCGAAACCGGTCACCCCAAGCCATTCTATTTAATTCTAGAACAGTGATTTCCAAACCGGTCTCCCCAAGCCATTCTATTTAATTCTAGAACAGTGATTTCCAAACCGGTCTCCCCAAGCCATTCTATTTCATTCTAGAACAGTGATTTCCAAACCGGTCTCCCCAAGCCATTCTATTTCATTCTAGAACAGTGATTTCCAAGCCGGTCTCCAGGGTCCCCAAGCCATTCTATTTCATTGTGACATTCTACATTAAAGTTCAACACTAGACAACTCACTAAACTAATGAACTACTCATCAGTCAAGCCCTGGTGGTGGATTAGCTACAACAGATATGTGGAATGGGGGATAGAGACTTCTAGAAGCCTCACCTGTCCCAGGAAGTAGATCCCTCCTCCTACGATGAAGGCAGAGATGGCCGTGCCGATGACAGCAAACAGTGTGATGGAACCAATGTTCTGGAAGAAGTTACCCTGGCAAACAGAACACATGGAGGTGGAGAGATGAGCACCAAATATCACAGTACACCAAGAGGAACCAGATGTAAAACACACAGTCACACACGCTCGTAAAAACACACACCACACACACCTTATGTAGAGAGTATCCTGATTCGAAGATGATGGGCGGCAGGAGCAGGAGGAAGAACATGTTGGGACGAAACATCTCCTCTTCCTATAGGGGGACATGGTGGTTAACACACACAACCTCGTTTCCTCTTTGGCAATGATTTAGTTATTTTTCATTTTTATTCAGGTGACTGCAGTCAGCGGGAGCGAGGAGTGGAAAGGTGATGAAAGAAAATGAAAAGAGAAGGAGAGATGAGAAGACAGGAAAGAGAGGGCCTATTTATGTAAGCAACAGACCTCGATCTGTCAAAACACATCTTTCACTTCGACTTCAAGAGTGCTGCTCTCACACACACACACACACACACACAAGCCCAGGGCAGATGAGTCGAAGTAGAAGGCGGAATTGGGGTAAGTAATTTCCGATCTGATGTTCAAGAGTTCTTGTCGGTTGTAAGAAATAATAGCGGATACATTACGTGAAAATAGACCATAAATAAACAACAAAATAAATCACAAAATAGTAAAGTTGGGTCGGAGCATGCAAAACGGCAGCCATACAGTACGGGGCCTTCTTTCGTGTTTTAGAGAAAGGTAACACTGTACTATTATGGTTTAGGGTAAAACGTAAGTACTTTCAGGTAGTCAGTTGGCATTCTACTCCGATAAAGCAGCATATGCTTGCCCTTAACCACAGATCTAGGAACAGATTACCATACCCACAGTCCTAACCTTTAGCATTAGAGGATAAAAATATATATCTGACCCTGCATCAGTTGTTCGGGGCAACACAGTGACTAGGCCTACCTGCTCCATAAAGCAAACAGCCAGCAGCAGAAGGTGAAAGGTCAATCTCAACCATATTCATGAACTGGAGAGCAGAACGCAGACATGCAGGCTAGCATTAACACTGAGAGTCGTAGGTTGACTTGCAGGCTAGCATTAACACTGACAGAGTCGTATGTTGACATGCAGGCTAGCATTAACACTGACAGAGTCGTATGTTGACATGCAGGCTAGCATTAACACTGACAGAGTAGTATGTTGACATGCAGACTAGCATTAACACTGACAGAGTCGTAGGTTGACATGCAGGTCGGAATGCATGCACATGTTTAACTAGCACATGTAGGAATACACGGGGATGAATCAGCACACACACATACACACTGACTTGCTTGTATGGGCAGCCCACACACACACCCCTCCCCCTCTCTCTTTCTCAACAGTTTGGGATAATTGTACATTGCTGTATTCCTGAGGTATTGAAGCCATAGAAGGAGAATAAGGACAACAGCCATTAACAGGATACCCAGAGAAAATAGAAACTAAGATGGGAAATTGTTTTACCTTTTCTCTCAATCTACAGTCGTGGTGAAAAGTTTTGAGAATGATGGCAATTTGCATATACTCCAGAATGTCATGAACAGTGATCAGATGAATTGCAAAGTCCCTCTTTGCCATGAAAATGAACTTAATTCCAAAAAAACATTTCCACTGCATTTCAGCCCTGCCACAAAAGGACCAGCTGCCATCATGTCAGTGATTCTCTCGTTAACACAGGTGAGAGTGTTGACAAGGGCAAGGCTGGAGATCACTCTGTCATGCTGATTGAGTTAGAATAACAGACTGGAAGCTTTAAAAAGGAGGGTGGTGCTTGAAATCATTGTTCTTCCTCTGTTAACCATGGTTACCTGCAAGGAAACACGTGCCGTCATCATTGCTTTGCATAAAAAGTGCTTCACAGGCAAGGATATTGCTGCTAGTAAGATTGCACCTAAATCAACCATTTATCGGATCATCAAGAACTTCAAGGAGAGAGGTTCAATTGTTGTGAAGGCGGCGTCAGGGCGCCCAAGAAAGTCCAGCAAGCGCCAGGACCATCTCCTAAAGTTGATTCAGCTGGATTGGGGCACCACCAGTGCAGAGCTTGCTCAGGAATGGCAGCAGGCAGGTGTGAGTCCATCTGCACGCACAGTGAGGCGAAGACTTTTGGAGGATGGCCTGGTGTCAAGAAGGGCAGCAAAGAAGCCACTTCTCTCCAGGAAAAACATTAGGGACAGACTGATATTCTGCAAAAGGTACAGGGATTGGACTGCTAAGGACTGGGGTAAAGTCATTTTCTCTGATGAATCCCCTTTCCGATTGTTTGGGGCATCCGGAAAAAAGCTTGTCCGGGGAAGACAAGGTGAGCGCTACCATCAGTCCTGTGTCATGCCAACAGTAAAGCATCCTGAGACCATTCATGTGTGGGGTTGCTTCTCAGCCAAGAGAGTGGGCTCACTCACAATTTTGCCTAAGAACACAGCCATGATTAAAGAATGGTACCAACACATCCTCCGAGAGCAACTTCTCTCAACCATCCAATAACAGTTTGGTGACGACCAATGCCTTTTCCAGCATGATGGAGCACCTTGCCATAAGGCAAAAGTGATAACTAAGTGGCTCGGGGAACAAAACATCGACATTTTGGGTCCATGGCCAGGACACTCCCCAGACCTTAATCGCATTGAGAACTTGTGGTCGATCCTCAAGAGGCGGGTGGACAAACAAAAACCCACAAATTCTGACAAACTCCAAGAATTGATTATGCAAGAATGGGCTGCCATCAGTCAGGATGTGGCCCAGAAGTTAATTGACAGCATGCCAGGGCGGATTGCAGAGGTCTTGAAAAAGAAGGGTCAAGACTGCAAATATTGACTCTTTGCATAAACTTAATGTAATTGTCAATAAAAGCCGTTGACACTTATGGAATGCTTGTAATTATACTTCAGTATACCATAGTAACATCTGACAAAAATATATCATAACACTGCATCTGAACTTTGTGAAGACCAATACTTGTGTCATTCTCAAAACTTTTGACCACGACTGTACTATCTGCAACGTGCATCAGTGTGCGTTTTTTTTTTTTACTTGATGCATTGGGAAAGTGCTAGGACTATATAAACCCAATCAATGATCCATTACCTTGTGTGAGGTTTACTACATCACTTGTATTAGCACTAGTGCACCCAGCAAGAATCCATGCCTAAAACTGGTTCATTATCTGTGTCAGTGGACATGGGGGAAATGGAGAAGGATGACAGGAGGACTGCCAGGGAAGAACAAAGGGAACTGAAACTACACATGCTGAAGAGGGGAGATGGATGGATGGAGAGAAAGGAGGAGAGGAGGGAAGCACATAAGGGAAAAGAAAGACTTAACATGTTGGAGTGGAGGAGGAGAGGATGGGGTAAAAAAAGAACTGGCGGCAAAGAAACGACACAGGAGGAGAAGGAGAAATGGGAGATGGAGGGAGGGAGCGAGTGAAAGGACAACAGGAGGGAAACACATAAGGGAAAAGTAGACATGATGGGGAGTGGAGGACATAGATGGAGGGATGAATGGAAAAGGATGAGAGCAGAGCCAGGGAAGACAAGCTGTCATTGCCAAAGGGGTTGGTAGAGTATGGCCTTGGCAGTTAGCAGCATGGTCCTGGGGGTAGCGCCAAAAAAACAGCTCAGTGTGAGGTTAGCACTGTAGATATGGGGATTAGAACCAGTACCCATGGATCACAACTACAGTAAGTGAGAGAGAGACGGCATCCCAAAGAACCCTGTCCGGCCATCCAATGCCCCAATCCATGCAAAAAGTCAGCTCTGGAGGACCAGGGGCCACATGGAGTGGGGTAAGGGGGGAGGGGCTCTGGTTACTGGAACTGATGGCTCAGCAACACCCTGGGGCTCCCGGGTTCTGGAACAATGACCCCTGTGTTCCCAGAAAAAAAAACTCTCTCGTGAGAACTAGAGGAAGAGAGATTGTCTCAAAGAAAAAGAGAGAGAATGGGAGGGAGAGGCTGTATGAATACAAGAGGAAAGACAGAACAGAGGGACACAGATGAGCTGGAAGAACAAAAAAGAGGGGCCAGGGAGCGAGAGAGGGCAGACAGAGAAAGGGGAGGAGAATAAAAAAGAGGAAGAGTAGGAGTGTGAGAGACTCATGAAATAACCCTTAGATAGGTTCAGTCACCATCACACAGTAAACAACATGAAGACCGTGTGTGTATCAGACATGGAAACGTTTATGTTGGCTCCAGATTGGGTTACACAAATTGAGGGGCTTGGCTTGTATAGCTTTTGGGATGCAATGTATTTCTGCCGTAAACCTCTGGATGCCGACTGTGCAGGGCAGAACACAGTAGAAGTAGCATATCTGTAAGTGTGTATGAAATGTTTAGTTTTTAAGGAGAGTATGATAATGTGTGGCACGGGCCAGACTAAGGCTGAATCTCAAACCGAACACTTGGCCACTAAGCCCTTATCGATTGGCCACTTGCGAGTCCGCAAGTGTTTTGGCCAAAATGAGCATTGAGACGATGCGCACTCGACGTCCCAACTGCCATTTATCAATATTCTAAATCCATTCGCGAGAATTGTCTCCCACGACCTGTCTTGTAGCATGAATCACAGGCACTGGGGACCTGGGGCAGACACAGACTCCGATAGACAGTAAGAAAGTTGTCAAAACAAAATGACATCTCTACTCATCCACAAAATATGTGCATGTTTATCAGTCTACTCCTAGAATAAAAGGCACTTTTAAGGGAGGCTCTCCATTCAACATGCAGGAATTAAACATTTAGAGCAAAGAAAGTGTGTAGTGTACCTTCCAATTAGCTAGCTCATGAAACTCAATGATCTTTATGAAGCCTCCCATCAGGATCCCTGGAAGAGAAAGACCACCACAAGATATCATTAAGAGTTCACGAACCCATTAACAAAACACTCAGTTTTAAAGGTCTCACATTCTCATCAAAGCTAAGAAAAGGCCACATTTCCATGAAATGGAAATACAAACTCCTAAAGAGCATCAGTGTGTGGATGTTAATACCAAGTAAGCTATCAATGTATTATATTTTAAAGAATAAGAAAGATATTGTCTAATAAAGTGTATTTGAGGAAGTACCCTTAGGCACAGGGTTGAGGAAAGGGCTTAGTTTGTGTGTGTGTGTGTGTGTGTGTGTGGGGGGTGTGTGCGGTGTGTGCGTGAGAACAGGCATTAGACAACACTATTTCTCCAGAAAAACTTCAATCTGGGAAATTACCTCACAACAAGACACAGTTTACCATCTTCTCCATTTAGGTGTGTTCTCTCGGTGTAATATCTTACACAAGCATCTACAGTTGAAGTCGGAAGTTTACATACACTTAGGTTGGAGTCATTAAAAATCGTTTTTCAACCACTCCACAAATGTCTTGTTAACAAACTATAGTTTTGGCAAGTCGGTTAGGACATCTACTTTGTGCATGACACAAGTAATTTTTCCAACAATTGTTTACAGACAGATTATTTCACTTATAATTCACTGTATCACAATTCCAGTGGGTCAGAAGTTTACATACACTAAGTTGACTGTGCCTTTAAACAGCTTGGAAAATTCCAGAAAATGATGTCATGGCTTTAATAGCTTCTGATAGGCTAATTTACATCATTTGAGTCAATTGGAGGTGTACCTGTGGATGTATTTCAAGGCCTACCTTCAAACTCAGTGCCTCTTTGCTTGACATCATAGGAAAATCAAAAGAAATCAGCCAAGACCTCAGAAAAAAATTTGTAGACCTCCACAAGTCTGGTTCATCCTTGGGAGCAATTTCCAAACGCCTGAAGGTACCACATTCATCAGTACAAACAACAGTACGCAAGTATAAACACCATGGGACCACACAGCCGTCATACCGCTCAGGAAGGAGATGCGTTCTGTCTAGAGATGAACGTACTTTGGTGCAAAAAGTGCAAATCAATCCCAGAACAACAGTAAAGGACCTTGTGAAGATGCTGGAGGAAACAGGTACAAAAGTATCTATATCCACAGTAAAACGAGTCCTATATCGACATAACCTGAAAGGCCGCTCAGCAAGGAAGAAGCCACTGCTCCAAAACCACCATAAAAAAGCCAAACTACGGTTTGCAACTGCACATGGGGAAAAATATCGTACTTTTTGGAGAAATGTCCTCTGGTCTGATGAAACAAAAATAGAGCTGTTTGGCCATAATGACCATTGTTATGTTTAGAGGAGAAAGGGGGTTGCTTGCAAGCCGAAGAACACCATCCCAACCGTGAAGCACAGGGGTGGCAGCATCATGCTGTGGGGGTGCTTTGCTGCAGGAGGGACTGGTGCACTTCACAAAATAGATGGCATCATGAGGAAGGAAAATTATGTGGATATATTGAAGCAACATCTCAAGACATCAGTCAGGAAGTTAAAGCTTGGTCACAAATGGGTCTTCCAAATTGACAACGACCCCAAGCATACTTCCAAAGTTGTGGCAAAATGGCTTAAGGACATCAAAGTCAAGGTATTGGAGTGGCCATCACAAAGCCCTGAAACACGCAGAACTGAAAAGGTGTGTGCGACCAAGGAGGCCTACAAACCTGACTCAGTTACACCAGCTCTGTCAGGAGGAATGGGCCAAAATTCACCCAACTTATTGTGGGAAGCTTGTGGAAGGCTACCCGAAACGTTTGACCCAAGTTAAACAATTTAAAGGCAATGCTACCAAATACTAATTGAGTGTATGTAAACTTTGACCCACTGGGAATGTGATGAAATAAATAAAAGCTGAAATAAATCATTCTCTCTACTATTATTCTGACATTTCACATTCTTAAAATAAAGTGGTGATCCTAACTGAGCTAAGACAGGGACTTTTTACTAGGATTAAATGTCAGGAATTGTGAAAAACTGAGTTTAAATGTATTTGGCTAAGGTGTATGTAAACTTCCGACTTCAACTGTATTCTACTATGACTGTGTGAACCTGCGAGGCTATTTCTGTTGCCGACGCCGTGACCTTGCAAAGATCTAAATGGAGATATGACATACTCTACCTCCACAGAGAGAGAGTGTGGATGTGCTGAAATAACAGTCCAACCCAATAGGGTTTGTAAGACAGAAATAATGGTGTAATAAATGAATAAAATAAAATAGTAAGACAAGAAAAAATAGATAAGAAAATCAAGCAGTTTTGAAAAGTAAGTTTAATTAACTTGTCTATACTGATATGTCTCGCAAAACAAGCCAATGCAAGTCAATGATGTAGAATAACATTTAGACCCAATAAGTGCTCAAACAGTATGAACCTAAAGGAGTACAACATACATTGCACATCACACATGGTACTTACCTAAGGATACAACAGCCACACTCTCCGGTAGGAAGTGCAGTTTGAACTTAATAAGCAGGTGCACCAATATGATGCAGATACCTGAGAAAAACGATACAATGGGACAGTGTCAATGTGGGAATGAAACATAGTTAAGATCACACTTTAATAGACAAAATACAGTATTTGAGACAATGTGACTTCCTCAAGAAAACCAAAAATGCTGAGGATGAGGAATGCAATTATGTTATTACAGCTTAATTTCACAATTTGACTTAAATGGAACCAATCCATGTGCTTAGGCCAACATAGACAAAGTAGAATATTGCAGATTAGTCTAACATGCAAATAGTGTCTAATAAAGTAGAGGTCAATGTGTCAGTGTTCTTTTATTAATTTCAAAACGTTTGTGTAAGAAGGTTCTTCTGTATGATACAGGCCAAGGTAACATTACAGATAACTAAGTAATGTGTCTATATGGAACCGTACACTCTTTTCTTCTCTTTTCCACACTGACTGTATCCACACACACACTATGACAGTATAGATAAATATAGGGGAAAATCTAGGACATGACATCATCAACATCATGCGACATGAAGGATCAAAGGTCACAGAAAGGAGAGGTTAGGGTCACACTATTTGGGTAGTCCGGATATTCCATCTGTAGATGCTCCACAAATTGTGATATTATCAACAAACTATCTGCTGATAAGCAACTGCTTGCTAAGGTTAGGTTTAGAATAAGGGTTAGGGTAAGTGTTGAGTTTAGGGTTAGGTTTAAGGTTAGGATAAGGGTTAAGGTTAGCGCTAGGGTTAGCAGATAGTTGAAATGTTACTGATGGTCTGTAGAGCATCTACAGATGGACTATCCAAATAAAGTGTTACAGAGGTTAGCTCACATCCAGGACAGTCTCAAATAAACATTAATTGGTTGGAGAAAGAACATTTCATTTGAATCACTTGCTATGTTCTGTGGGTGTACAGCATCCTTGCTGAACAGAGACAGTGTGGCCTTGTGGTGTATCCTATTTATTCACAGCATCAAATGTCTAACCTCTTATCTCCCAAAGTGCTGAATTATGCTGATCAACACTACTTCCATTTGTGTGTCGTGAAAATAAAGTTGAAAACCGTCAGGGTAGATGGCTTGCATCAATCTGTGGACCAAACACTTTGGTTTTCCCTTTTACTAATGAGCTAGACTAATGATTGTGGGTCTTGAGTCATTTCCTGAAAGCTGTAGTGTAGCCAATAGGCTAACGATTATTTAGGAATAAGGAAGCACTCAACACATTTAAACCCCTCACTTAAAGGATGACTTTCACTAAAGATGAATTGGCAGCTCATGGAAGTGTTAAGCATTATGTAGGCTAGCTTTCCTGACAGAGCCTCATATACTATACAGTACAATTGTTTTGGTTTTGTTGAATTAATTCTATGGACTTTATATTTTATTGTGCTCTGCTCCCATCCAACTAAACCTTTATGTACGTGTGACCCACTGACTAAACACAACAAATATACTATATCTAGTCTAGGAACCAGTCCAGGATCCAGTCCTAAACCACAACAAAATGATTCAGCCACAACCTCTGACTGACCCACCATTTGGGAAACACTAGTCATCTGATTTAGAACACATCATCTAACCCTGGAGGCTGCACTAATCGATACTAATGCAGAGGAATTAAATTCCTAAGAGGCAGAACATCTCCAGGGACTGAGTGCATCCTCTCTAGATTGTCTGAAGTGAAGCCACATCCATCCCCGTCATCCATTCCTTGCTTCCTCCAAAACACTACTAAATGGGTGATTCCTCATGAAACTAGAACAAAATGACCATGATTTATGGATTTTCACATAATTTAATCCATAGAGCATTATGTTCCCACTTCAATTATGCTTTAAGCTACAATTTTTTACCTCCTGTTTCAGGAAGTGATGTCACTGAGTACTGCCCCTATATATAGGACCTTCCACCCTCACCTGGGATATGGATACCTAAAGAAGACCTAAGGGTCGAAACGTGGTTATAAATAAATATCACCTGGGAGCATGAGCAGCATTTTTCTTTCTGTTTTTCATAAGCTACAAATGTCAAATATACACTACCATTCAAAGGTTTGGGGTCACTTAGAAATGTCCTTGTTTTCGAAAGAAAAGCTATTTTTTTTGTCCATTAAAATGACATCAAATTGATCAGAAATACAGTGTAGACATTGTTAATGTTGTAAATGGCTATTGTAGCTGGAAACGGCTGATTTTTTATGGAATATCTACATAGGCGTACAGAGGCCCATTATCAGCAACCATCAGTCCTGTGTTCCAATGACACGTTATGTTTGCTAATCCAAGTTTATCATTTTTACAATTATGTTAGCACAGATGAAAACTGTTGTGCTGATTAAAGAAGCAATAAAACTGGCCTTCTTGAGACTAGTTGAGTATCTGGAACATCAGCAATTGTGGGTTCGATTACAGGATCAAAATGGCCAGAAACAAATAACCTTCTTCTGAAACTTGTCAGTCTATTCTTGTTCTGAGAAATGAAGGCTATTCCATGCGAGAAATTGCCAAGAAACTGAAGATCTCAACCCTATTGAGCTGTTGTTGGAGCAGCTTGACCGTATGGTACGTAAGAAGTGCCCATCAAGCCAATCCAATTTGTGGGAGGTGCTTCAGGAAGCATGGGGTGAAATCTCTTCAGATTACCTCAAGAAATTGACAACTAGAATGCCAAAGGTCTGCAAGGCTGTAATTGCTGCAGATGGAGGATTATTTGACAAAAGCAAAGTTTGAAGGACACAATTATTATTTATAATAAAAATCATAATTTCTAACCTTGTCAATGACTACATTTCCTATTCAAAGTCATTTCATGTATGTTTTCATGGAAAACAAGGACATTTCTAAGTGACCCCAAACTTTTGAACAGTAGTGTATGTCAATAATCCTTCCTGCAAAGGACCCACCTATGGATTAAATGTAGTGAAAATCCAAAAAAAGTGTATTTATTTTATGTTATAGTTTCGTGAGGAATCACCCTAATTGGAGGGAGTGGTAGTGTTTAAGTGTTGCAGCAATGGGGTATGGATAAATGGCCATGAACACATAATATAGGATATACAATTTAGTACTTTCTTCTCGATCTAAAAAACAAAGGATTAAAAATCCATAGGAGCTTTGGTCACCATTAGAGGAAAAGAGAGGGAGGCAGACAGTCACAAAAAAAAAATTCTGAAGAAGATGGACAGACACTACTGACCGATGACCAGTAGGCTGAAGAATATGGTCATCCCGCTGGACTGTTCCTCCTCCTGGGCCTTGACCCCAGCACCAGGCAGGATGGGTTTAGGGGTTGGCTTAGGGGTTGCCTTGACACCCACAGTGGTAGCGTGGAGGGTGCCATTACTGTAGTTATCTGTGTCGTTTAACAGGCTGGAACAAGGAGACAGAAGAAGAGTTATCTTTTTTGTGTGTGTCCTTTTGAGACATCCTATGCTATCCCATAGTGGGCACATTGTTCAGAAGTAGGCTAGTGCACTGTCAGATGCAAATACGCTACTACACACTACGGTCAAAACAAAACTGCACCTGGCTCTGGTCAGGTGTAGTGCACTCTGCTCTAGCCTGCATATATCGGTGTCATTTGAGAGTAATTTGTCAGTGTGTGTTGTTATTCTGTGTCATAAGGCTGTCTCAATGTAAAGGAGTATCGTTACTGACATTACATTTTAGGTAACCTCGTCCCCAGGCTTGGGGAGGAAGCGTACAAGACTTCATTTTAGGTAGGCTACCGACCGTATGCAATGGGTCACCTAGGCCTACCAAACACTACCGTAGCTGACTAAACTCCACTCCATGGTGAAGGGAGTTTCTGATTAACTTTAACTTCCTTCACCATGAAGTGGAGTTTAGTCAGCTCCCCTAACGTTACCCTTGCTCTACAAACGCCATCCACGAATAACGACAGCTGTTTCACCCGTTGCAGTCTAGGGCAACGCATTCAAAAGCAAAGGTAGCTATAATCACACCTGATTGATTGCTCTGCGTGGCCGTCTTGTTGCGGGTTGGCAGCAGGTATATTTCCTTCGTTTCTCGGTGATATTTTTTTGTCATCGGGAATAATTGTATGATCCTGTTCCAATCCAACATCGTCTCTCTCGTGCAAATCTAATAACGATGTTTGTCTCTCAACTCGTTCTGTCACGCACGAATTTGGCCACGTCAATAAAAGACAAATTGCAAGATGATACCCGAAGCCTTTCATTCTTCAAATAATGCTTTTAAACAGCAAAACGATGGTTTTAACAGAAAATACTTGCACATCCATTTCTGGTTTATCCCATGTTAGCCACATCACAACTCTGTTTCCTGGTTGAACTACCAGCAGGGAATTGTAGTTTTTACGTGCCATCAGGAACGTCTTCAAATTGACTAGATCATTTCATATGCTGATTTATGGATATAAAATATAAACTCACCAAAAATAGTAATATCAACAATCACACTGTACTATCTTCACATCGAATTGAATATTTACAGTGGCTTATGTGCTTTGCCTTCACGTCATTTCCCATAAAGCGCAATAAAATATGACTTTTCACGGGATTTGTAGTTTCTGAAGAAAGAGCCGTCTTGCATTATAGGGACTGTACTGGAATGTTTGATAGGCCTACCAACAATGAAAGGCAATCTTCAGCCCAGCCCCAGACTGCCCATTGTTCCACATTCAATAGGTCTTACAGTAAATTAAACCAGATGTTCACTGCTTCTTCGAACCAACAGGCCTGTAATTTAAATCAGGATTCTGTTATGCTGTTGGTTGCCAGTCAAATTACAGTAGCCAACATTTGAATGCCTGGTTTGTGCTGAGCCATGCCTAAGGCAGAAGTTATGAATGTAGGTGGTGACTGACTATATGTGGCTAGGGGCGATCACACACACACACCAACACAACTATTTTTCTCCCTTTGCCATCTCCTCTTTGGCACGGCCCAGGGCACATCTCTCTGTCTCTCTCTCTGTCTCTCTGTCTCTCTCTCTGTCTCTCTGTCTCTCTCTGTCTCTCTGTCTCTCTCTCTCTCTGTCTCTCTGTCTCTCTCTCTCTCTCTCTCTCTCTCTCTCCCTCTCTCTCTCTCTCTCTCTCTCTCTCTCTCGCTCTCTTTCTCCCATTGTGCCCCATCCCCCGGCATTTCTCTCAAAATGCTCTATTTAAAGCTTACACTGAGGGATAGGCTGGTGTGACCTTGTGCTCAACATGTTCACATAGTCTACACGTCAAACAGACACATGCCAAAATGCACATTTCTAAATACTTGCAAGAAGAAATATTCACTTCCATGCATAATCTACAGGACTATCACAGACCCATGCACAAATTGGCACATAAACAGATACACAAATGTGCACAAACACATAGGCTACATGCATACATGTACGAGGGCACGCACACACACACACACACACACACACACACACACACACACACACACACACGTGCACGAATTACACACACACACACACACAAAGTCACATGCTGTCTCTCTCTCTCTCACAGATACACACACACACACACCCACACAAACACACAATACATATATTTAGGCTTGAGTAGGCCTAGGCCTACCACAAGAGCACACCATGGCTTTATGTTTTATTTCATATCTTATAGGCAAATGTATTGTGTAATGAAACATATTGGGGAATAAAACGACAATATCAAACCTAATAAAGTATACATTTTGCATCCATCCTGGCAATATTGTTAATATTTTGTTATTTAAATTTGGTCTAGGGATATAATGGCTACTACACCTTGGCATAAAATCAGTGGTGTAAAGTACTTAAGTAAAAATACTTTAAAGTGCTACTTAAAGGGCAACTCCGCCACATATGAATGATCTCCAGCTGTCATGAATCCCGCTTCCTGAGTCTGTTTCTGCCTGAGTTGCCTGTTTTCTGTCTTGGAGTCTGTTTCCTGAGGTTCCTGAACGCACCCTGTCTGGTTGCCGGGCGACGAGGCTAGGCGGGAGATCTCTCGATTACCCGCACCTGCACCTCATCAGCTATCTGCACACCTGGTCCTGATCATCACCTCTCCACTTCATAAGCTCTGACCTGACATCCATTCCCTGCTGGATCGTTAGCCATGAACAGTATGTTGTGTCAGCCTCAAGTTTACTAGAGTTAGTTTTGTTGTTCTGTACTTTTTGCTTGCCGTGTACTCACCTCCGTTTACTCTGTCTACAGTCATTCTCCCGGAACATTCACCCAACCCCTGCCTGGTCGTCGGTGGCTTCTGTGACACCATTGGATCTGCCTATTCTCTCCCACCAACTCACCTCCGCTGCCTGCTCCGTCTCCTGGATTATTCTGCTTCCACATTTGAGTCTGTAAATAAATACTCACCTTCGTTCTACTCACCTTGTCCTGGTCTGCTTCTGGGTTCTGCTTTAGAGAATCGTGACACCAGCACCAAAGCAGTGTCTACATATGTTTATTCCAGTGTGTTTCTATGATCTGTGGTTAAAATGATAATGTTTTGGGGGGGGGTTTGATCAGCTTTAATATTTCAGATAGATTGTAACTTCCATCAGTGTAATTGTCTGCATCACTTCCAATCCCCCATGTTTTTTTCTCTCGCAAATATATATAAGGCAGAAGTTATGAATGTAGGTGGTGACTGACTATGTGGCTAGGGGCGATCACACACAACTATTTTTCTCCCTTTGTGAGGGAAAAAAGTATTTGATCCCCTGCTGATTTTGTACGTTTGCCCACTGACAAAGACATGATAAGTCTATAATTTTAATGATAGGTTTATTTGAACAGTGAGAGACATAACAACAAAATCCAGAAAAACGCATGTCAAATGTTATAAATTGATGTGCATTTTAATGAGGGAAATAAGTATTTGACCCCTCTGCAAAACATGACTTAGTACTTGGTGGCAAAACCCTTGTTGGCAATCACAGAGGTCAGACGTTTCTTGTAGTTGGCCACCAGGTTTGCACATCTCAGGAGGGATTTTGTTCCACTCCTCTTTGCAGATCTTCTCCAAGTCATTAAGGTTTCGAGGCTGACGTTTGGCAACGTTCCACAGATTTTCTATGGGATTAAGGTCTGGAGACTGGCTAGGCCACTCCAGGACCTAATGTGCTCCTTCTTGAGCCACTCCTTTGATGCCTTGGCCGTGTGTTTTGGGTCATTGTCATGGTGGAATACACATCCACAACCAATTTTCAATGCCCTGGCTGAGGGAAGGAGGTTTGCACCCAAGATTTGACGGTACATGGCCCCGTCCATCGTCCCTTTGATGCAGTGAAGTTGTCCTGTCCCCTTAGCAGAAAAACACCCCCAAAGCATAATGTTTCCACCTCCCATGTTTGACGGTGGGGATGGTGTTCTTGGGGTCATAGGCAGCATTCCTCCTCCTCCAAACACGGCGAGTTGAGTTGATGCCAAAGAGCTCCATTTTGGTCTCATCTGACCACAACACTTTCACCCAGTTCTCCTCTGAATCATTCAGATGTTCATTGGCAAACTTCAGACGGGCCTGTATATGGGCTTTCTTGAGCAGGGGGACCTTGCAGGCGCTGCAGGATTTCAGTCCTTCACGGCGTAGTGTGTTACCAATTGTTTTCTTGATGACTATGGTCCCAGCTGCCTTGAGATCATTGACAAGATCCTCCCGTGTAGTTCTGGGCTGATTCCTCACCGTTCTCATGATCATGAGATTGACAGTTCTTTTGTGTTTCTTCCATTTGTGAATGATTGCACCAACTGTTGTCACCTTCTCACCAAGCTGCTTGGCGATGGACTTGTAGCCCATTCCAGCCTTGTGTAGGTCTACAATCTTGTCCTTGACATCCTTGGAGAGGTCTTGGCCATGGTGGAGAGTTTGGAATCTGATTGATTGATTGCTTCTGTGGACAGGTGTCTTTTATACAGGTAACAAGCTGAGTTTAGGAGCACTCCCTTTAAGAGTGTGCTCCTAATCTCAGCTCGTTACCTGTACAAAAGACACCTGGGAGCCAGAAATCTTTCTGATTGAGAGGGGGTCAAATACTTATTTCCCTCATTAAAATGCAAATCAATTTATAACATTTTTGACATGTGTTTTTCTGGATTTTTTTGTTGTTATTCTGTCTCTCACTGTTCAAATAAACCTACCATTAAACTTATAGACTGATCATTTCTTTGTCAGTGGGCAAACGTACAAAATCAGCAGGGGATAAAATACATTTTTCCCTCACTGTATATATATATATATACATCCATACACATATCCTTTTAAAAATTATATTTCCCTTCATTACTTTCTAACCCCACCACCCCTTCCCCAATTGGGGTAAACTAGTGAACAACAATGCTTAAGCCTGTACTTCCAGCCCATACATACTATATACATTTTATGGACACAGTTAAATTCTACAATAATTATATTTTGTTTGTTTTTACTCCTGAACTTCTTCCGATCTTTTTCATGATGTCCATCAGGTTTGCTTCTATATGGCATATTTTTCTAACTGTGCTCTTTCACAAAAGCTCTCAACCTATAACCTATATACTTATTATGGACACAGTATGCTTTACATTAGTTATCTTGTTGTTATTAGTTATTGTTATTAGTCCCATCCTTCTGCTCCATTCAAACCTCCCATCTATCTCTTAACACCATCCATATTGGATTTCTATTTGCCATATATTTTTCAACTGTACTGTGATGTTTTGCAAAAGTTCTGAACCTTTCTATTCTCATTGTTTCTACAGATCGTAAATTGAATATAAACATTTTTGCTAAAAGTATTATTATATTATTGATCGATTGACTATGACTTTTCAGATCACCCAGATAATTGCATTGTTTGCTATATAACCTGTTAGTTCATATGCCTTGACACCGTGATATATAGGCCTAAGGCCGAGACAATAAGAAGACACAATGGCAGAATAAATTCAACCACACATTTGTTTCATCAAAAAAAACGGAGAGCAACCTCTGTCCGGTGAAGTCCATAAAACATATTGCATGTGTAACAAACAGTTACATGACCTACAGCATAGTCAAGCAAGTAAATGTTTCCGACATTTTCGGACTACTAAACAACTATTGACTTAGAATCACCGAGAGTTACCGCAAGTCGCAACGAAAACAGGTGCTGCCTCCACTATTCCAGCACCATTTCAACATAATTGAATCACCTATGCTTAGTCTAATACAGTTACAACTAAAATATACCTAAAACGATTTAGTCCAATCAATATAAGCTAAATATGATGTTCACTCACCCTGCTTGTAGAGAAATGCCAATGCCATCCTCCTCTTTCATGTTGCCTAAACGGTCTATGACACTGTTATACAGTACACACT